CCTGCCCCTTGGGACCGGAGCCTGACCCCCCCCCTGGCTCCAGGCTCCTGTCAGGAGCTGTGCAGAGCCAGAAGGTCTCCCCTGAGCCTCCTTTGCTCCAGGCTCAGCACCCCCAGCTCCCTCAGCTGCTCCTCCCCACACTTGGGCTCTAGACCCTTCCCCAGCAGCTCCGTTGCCCTTCTCTGGCCACGCTCCAGCCCCTCAAGCTCCTTCTGGGAGTGAGTGGCCTAAAACTGAACCCTGGATTTGAGGAGCAGCCTCCCCAGTGCCAGAGAAACCAAGAGCCCCAGCCACTGGACATTGCCTGCTTCCCAACCCCAACACCCCTGGCTGCTGGAAACCAGCCCAACAGACTTACAGCCTCAGAGACTGGCTCTGGAGGAGCCCCGAGTCAAGAGCGAGGGATTCTCACAGCAAGAACTTGGCAGCACAAGAGATTTTATGTTAGCTAAAACAGAGAGGGGAAAAAAAGAAATAATAAATACATCCACCCACAATACAAAGAGCAGTTTCCAAATTCATGTACTTTTCTTTCAAGGGCTTCCTCTGCCAGAGGGGGGGCAGAGGCAGCCTGACCCCTCCAGAAGAGCCCCACCTGCCCGGAGCTCTGCGGGGCACTGTCCAGGGCCAGCACACCCAGCCTGGCACTGAACAGGAGCCAAAGTGAGCAGTCATGTTTACTCCTCTGCTGCCTCTCAGAGCAGCCCCGGGCACCTCCACCTATGTACAACCTGTTTACTCCTCTCTCTCCAGGAGTAAACTTCTCCAGGAGTAAAATTCTGCCAGGATTTCCAGCCCCTGCTCCCTCTGCAGCGAGGGCATCAGCCCATGTTCTGCCTGTTGCCATAGCCTCTTGGGTGTGTGTCCTTCCAGTCGTCCCAGTCCCGAGCTTTTTGAAGAGCTTCCTCATCCTCCTCCTCCTCTTTTTTCTCCTGCTGCTGCTTCTGCAAGTCTTCATCAGCCCTACCTGCTGAGGGACAAGGAGAGGAGTGAGCTGTCAGAACAGAAGCCGGAATGCTGGAACTGCTGAGGAGCAGCCCAGAGCACTGCACCCTGAACACCTCCCCCCCACACAGGCTGCCCCAATTCTCTACCCCCCCCTCTCTCTGCCAGGGGTTACCTGGGGCTCTCTGAGGCATGCCTGGGGCAGAGACAGCTCCTGGCCTCCCGTGCTGCTCGTACCACTGGTCCACAGTCATGGTGGGCAGGGCGGGATACCCGGCGCCGAACACTCTGCAGAGGGAAGAGAGGAGAAGGTGGCACCTCACAGGGGCTGGCAGGGAGCAGAACCACAGTGACACCCCCAGGATGGCATCTGGCTGCTGCTAGCAGCACACGGTGTCTTATCAGGGAGGTCCTGCCCTGCCCGTGGGTCACAACCACCCCCCACCACACCACAGCCTCGGGGGAGAGAGGCTGGAAACTGCCTGGTGGAAAATGACCTGGGGGGGGTTGGCTGCCAGCTAGGTGGAGGTGAGCCAGAGAGTGGCCAGTTGGCCAAGAGGGCCCCCAGTAACCTGGCTTGGAGCCGCACCGGTGTGGCCAGCAGGAGCAGGGCAGGATTGTCCCCCTGGGCTGGGCACTGGGGAGGCCACACCTTGAATCCTGGGGGCAGTTTGGGGGCCCCTCCACTCCCAGCAGGACCTTGAGGGGCTGGCGTGTGGGCCGAAACGGGCAACAAAGCTGCTGGGGAAGGGTCTAGAGCCCAAGTGTGGGGAGGAGCAGCTGAAGGGTTTCTATTTGAGAGTGTCCAAGTCATCAGGGAAGAACCTACTTGGCCTGAGCAGCATCCCTGGTGAGAATGAAAGGCTTCAGAGGAGTCCTGACGTGCCGGGCAGCACCCTGGGGTGGGGCTGAAGCCTGAAAAAACAAGCAATAACCACAAGATAATTGTGCACATGAGGATCTCCTTCTCTGCTTCCCACCCAAAACCAAGTTATTAAAGGTCTGGTGGAAGAGAAACGCCCCTGGTGTCAGAGCCACAGCTCAGGATGGACAATTGGGGCCTTCATCCAGCTTCAATCATCTGTGAGCTCCCACAGACCCCTCCTCTGTGTGCCTGTCGTGCCCCCTCTGATCAAAGCACGGAGCTGACAGAGATGGAGAGGGTCAGCTCAGCTCAAAGCACCAATTACTGCTCATTTTCCTCAGGGACTCAAGGCTTGTTTTCCCCAGGGATCCACCACAGCCCATCTGGAAGCTCAGCACTCCCAACGACACCACCCAGGGCCCTCCAGAAGAGCAGGATGGATTCTGCTCCAGCTCCACAACCAGCCTGGACTGGGGGGTCTGCTGGCATGGTCTCATCTCTTACTTCTAGAGGGATGTTTTAGGTGAGTCTCAGAGCCCAGGGACTCTGTTCTAGCCAGGAACTGCAGCTCCACCAGGAGCTTTCACCATTCAGGGTGGACAATTTTATCTGTAACACCTGGACATGTAGCCCAGAAGCTTAAATTAGAAAGAAATCACAAGGGTGGTTGTTTAATTCACAAAGGTACCTCATTTCTTTAGAGTAGCCATGATCATCTAGAGCAGCAGCCAGTGACTAACCCAAAAATCAGACCCTCACCCACTCAGAATTAAACCAACCCCCAAACCTGGGCTCAATTTCAATCGAGAATTCACAGAATTCAACTTCTACC